ATTGGGGAGATCAGCTCACCCATACAGCAGACTTGGAAAGCCACGCTCACCCCGAGAGTCATAAGGAAGATGAAATGAAAGTCAATATGCAGAGTCTAGCCCAGCGCCTGGCAGACGCGGGTCCTCCGCTGTGGTGTTGCGAGGGGTGAGGCATTTGTCGGCCTTCAGCCCGGGTGGGCTCTGGAGCCTGCGGACCTGGTGGGAGTGCTGGAGGCGCAGCGACGCAGACCAGTGGCTCTCAGGCTTCGCTGTGGAGGAGAATCCCCAGGAAGGCTCCTGGAGGCGTAGATTGCTGGGTCTCTCCCCCCTCCCAGGCCCCACCCCGAGACGTGCTGATTCTGTAGGTCTGGGTCGGGGCCCACAGAGTTGCGTACTAGCAAGTTCTCCAGCAGTGCTGATGCTGGTGTTTTGGGGAGTGCGTGTTCAGAACCAATCGACCACATGTCGTGGAGACTCAGGTGGGGGGGGCACAGCTGAGGGGTTGAGAGAACCCGGGGAGACCTCACAGCAACAGGGGCTGGTGGTGGGCATGGAGGCGGGCAGGGGGTGATGGGGTGCGGAAGGGAGGAATGGGGGAGACTCAGCCGGCTTAGGTGCACGGGAGCATGTCAGAGTCGCCCAGAGCGGGGCAGGCGGGCAGCGACTGGCCTGCAGTGAGTCCCCTGCCTTCCCTTGCTGTCTTGGAAGGGGTGAGGCCAGAGAGGGTGGGGAGCCACCCGGTTGCACAGCCCGTGCACAGGCGTGTGACCACTCTGTGCTGACCTGCGGACGGCGCTGCAGGACCCCAGCCCGCTAAACAAGCAGCTTCCCTTAGAAACACTTTGAATTACTTACATTGAGGAAGGCTTATAATTGACCAGATGTTCTTAAAAATAGTTGGCTGCCTATGACTTGACCTTCACATTAGGAAAACAAAGACTGTTTTTTCTTTTATTGTCCATTGTGACTTTTCCCCCAGCAAATTCCTATTTCAAGTTTGCAGCTGTTCAGTGTTTGCAGAATCATACTCAGCCCATGCTGTGTGGAGGGTGGTCCATGAGGGGCTTAGACGGTGTCTTTTTTTTTTTTTTTGGTAAAATCTGTCCTGCTGTTGTGTGCGTTTAAATCCTGATTCGGGGCATCTCAGGGAGGACGTCACGTAGAGGGGAAAGAATCCTGATGCGGTGCCAGGGGATCGGGATCTGACTGGCGTGGAGAGCGGTTCCCGGGGAGGGAAGCGAGGGGCCGCGGGAAGCCACGCTGCCTAGAGGTCAAGTGGAAATCGTGGTCTGGGAGGAAAGGAAGCGAGAGGTCAAGCGTGCAGCTTGTGCTAAGGGTCACGTCTTCGGAGAGGCTGTAAACAGGAAACGGAGCCAAACCCAGAGGCTGGGAGCACGAGGAGAGGCTGGGAGCGGACAGCCGGGAGAGGGCAGATGGTCCTGCTCGGGCGGTGCGCGGCTGGGGGGCCCCCGCGTGTCCACGGGCGCAGGGTCTGCCCGGGACTTGGGGCGGCCGCTGCCAGCCCCGTGCGAGGGCCGGTGTCTGGCCGTCCGCGTCCTGCCGCGCGTCCCGGGCCAGCGCCCCATCCTTGGACCGCCCTGACGGCGCACGGTAAAGCAGGGGGCTTCGGGGGCGCCTGGGGGGCTCGGTCGGGTAAGCAACCCACTGGCTCTTGGTTTTGGCTCAGGTCAGGATCTCTGGGTCGTGAGGTCGAGCCCCGCGTCCGAGTGTGCACGCAGCCCCCGAGAGACTGACTGCCTGATGGTCTCTCCTTCTCCCTCTGGCCCTCATGCTCGTGCTCTGTCTCTCTGCCTCTCTCTCTGTCTCTCTCTTAAATAAATCTTTAAGAAAGAAAAAAAAAGCAGGAAGCTTCGGTTCTGGTTGGCTTCTTCCAGAGATTACCGCCGTCAGTGACCCCCTGAAAGATGAAGTTCATCCTACAGTTTCTCCGCTCAGCAGCTCGTCGGTCCCATCGATCCTTGTGGGTTCACGTCCAGGGTCTCACACCTGACATACGGTAGTGACTTCCACTTAACCAGGCGGGTAAAAGGGCCCAGGAACCTTAAATATATTTCTTCCCACTCTTCACAACAAGCGCACGTGGGAGGCGGTGGTGGGTAGTGTTAGGAAGTGAAAACGCTGAAGTTCTAGAGGTTCAGTGGTTTCCCCACAGTCAACGACCCTGTGACAGAACCAGCGTCTGAACCAGGTCTGCTCCCATCCAAGGTGGGGACCTCATCCCCCTGAGGCCGCTGTAGCGCCCTCCGGAGTCGGGGCCGGGGCCTGACCGCTCCGGGCACCTGCCCCCGCTCTCCCGGAGGGACACGCAGTCTGCGGCCTCCGCCCCAGGCCTGCAGCGCTTCTGCTTCTGTTACAGGGGTTTTTTTTTTTTTTTTTAATTCTTTTTTGCTACAGGTTTTTTTTTTTTTTTCCCCTACAGATTTTGATCCCTTTTAGGGCTGGCTAGTATTCACAGTCAAAGCAGAATCATCGCTCTGTACAGTGGGCTTTAAGCAACAAAATCATCCAGGAGTTGAACAAAAAAAGATGTAGAGGAATGTAAATTAAAAAAGAAACCCCGACTCGTGATCCCGGGCTCTAGAAAATGCTTGTGGACACCTATGATAATAACAACAACAACAACAACAATAATAGATGGATTCAAGGTGTAGAGGAATGTTCCAAATCTAAATGAACTTGACTCTGGTTCCCGCTGCACCCCCAGGTAGCTGAGTGACCCCGGGTCATCTGAGCGCTGGCCCCATCGGCCATGGGTCAAATTATGAGCCTTGTTTAAATTATTCGGAAGGCTCCAACCAATCTAAAAGTCATTTGGGTTTGTGCTGAAGAGTTCCTTTCTAACAGCAGAAGGTGCACTTCCTGTAGACTAAGTGGCTGTGGTTACGAGCTGTCCTGGGAGGCGTCGGTGGGGTCGTCCCGGGCGCCGACCCTTTCCCGCCCTCACTCGCAGCGCGGATCCAGGCGGCAGCTGCCCTCGTGTGCTCGGGCCTTTAGAGGCCACGGTCTCCCCTGCGTGTCTGTTACGGTCACAGCCCCGACGTTCCTTTGTCCTCTGTCGCTGCGTCTTCTCCTCTGAGCCCGTCCAGGGTTGTGCAGTATCTTGTCCCCGAGTCTGGACGCCCGGTGTAGAGTCCACAGGGCTGTGTCCTACCTGAGTCCTCGCTTAGCGATGCCCAGTGAGCTGCGACTGGCAAAGCTGGAGAAAGGGATAGAAGTAAGTACCCTTCCAGAAGGCATCAGGACAGCGTCTGTCCCCAGGGGTCGCTTGTACACGTGACGGAGAGTCTGCGAGCTCACGGGCATCCTCACTGCCTTTCTCGCAGATCCGTGAAAGGATGGCCGAATGAGACCTTGCAGGGGAAGGGGAGTGGGGTCCTTCCTGGGCGTTTCCTGTTGGTGCCGGGTCCTCGGCGTGATCTCCGTCCCCCACAGCGCCTCTGGGAGACGTGGTCACCAGCCCCGTCACCCACGCTCAGCGGCGCACCCGGGCGGATGATGGGCACGCCGCTGCCCCGCGCCAGCTGTGGGCCTTCCGTTTGCTCCGAGCAGAGAGATTCCTTTGCCCCTGCCGTGGGGCCTCCACCCTCTGTCTGGGGAAAGGTCTGAGCCTATCTTCTCTCCCATTTTGATATCCGCTCTCTGTGACCTGTGTGAAGTGTCACCTCCCTTCCGAACGCAAGCTTCGTCTTCCTCGTGCAGCTCTTCTACTTGACGATTCTTCCCAGACTTATTCTCACGTTTGCCAAGTGCCTGGAACATTGATTTCTCATGCAAACCATACACTCCCTGCCTTAGGTTATCAGTTAGCTTTTTAAGATTTTATTTATTTATTCATGAGAGACAGAGAGAGAGAGAGAGAGGCAGAGACACAGGCAGGGGGAGAAGCAGGCTCCATGCAGGGAGCCCGACGTGGGATTCGATCTCGGGTCTCCAGGATCAGGCCCTGGGCTGAAGGCGGCGCTAAACCGCTGAGCCACCTGGGCTGCCCATGTGTCCAAAATTTTAACAGAATCTTAACCCACTTCTGAGTTTGGGGAGCTTACTGCTTACTGATTGATCGCAGGCCTAAATCAGGTGCCAGGGGTCCAGGGTGGGAATGCATGTCCCTGGATGCAAGGATTTGTTCACTCACTCGACAGGCTGCTGTGGAGAGGCCATCGCGGGTCAGGTGCTGAGCTACGAACGGAGGGTGTGCACCTGCCCCGCCGTCTCCAGGCAGCAAGCAGTGGAAATCAGTGCGATAAATATAAATAGAAAAATACGTGCTATGAGGAAGCCGGCTCTGGGCAGGTTGGGGAGCGGCCAGAGAATGTTTCGGGAGGATGGGGAAGGGAAGGTGACTTTTATTCCTGTGATGGAGTGTCTAGTAGACACCGGGTGTGGTTAGATGCACGTGGCCCTGTAAGTGGACAAGTCTGCCCCGCGGCCCAGGGCCCCCTGAAGCTTTAGAGAACCTGCCAGTGCTTAGGGGGCAGTGGTGCGCGGGCTGATGCTGGAGGGTCAGGTGGCACCTGGGCCACTGGAAGCCAATGAGGAAAGGTGCGTCCCATTCGGTGGGCGCTGAGGACAGAGGCGGGTGACCCACCGCTTCCCCTGGGATGTTCCCACAACAGGAACCTGACAACACTTTCATCTGATCAGACCATTTTAACGAAAGCTTCTCTTGCGTCCTGGCTGTGGTTTTCCGCCCGTGGTCTAGGGGTTTGGTTGGTGGGAGGTGTCTGACTCAGTGCCTGTAGGAAGATGGGGGGAGGGAGGGTGTTGGGATGACTCCTTTGCCATTTCGAGGGTAGACACAATCGTTACCATCAACACGGGGAAGGGGTCACCCTCAGACCTGGGTCAGGAGCCCCGGCCGACAGCTCAGAGGACCTGACGAGTCGTCTAAAGCCGTGGGCCCGTTGGGTCACTTGGCCACCACGGGGGCCCCAGGCGTGATTCCTGCCTCGGTCCTGCTGGAGGCCACGGCGGTCTGACGGCCTGTGCTTCTCTCATTTCAGATTGCTCTGCCATGACCACAGCGCGGTACCGGCCCACGTGGGACCTGGCCCTCGATCCGCTGGTGTCGTGCAAGCTGTGTCTCGGGGAGTACCCAGTGGAGCAGATGACGACCATAGCCCAGTGCCAGTGCATCTTCTGTACTCTGGTTGGTCTTTCTGAAAGGATTTCAGGACGAGGCTTTCGCGTTCGTGCGTCGTGACACCAGGCAAACCTCTGACCCCACTTTTGCCCGTGACGGGGTCTCTCCCGCGGTTATTGAGAGAATTTCCCATTAACACTAGTCAGGCTCCCCAGTAGATTTCCATCACAGGCGCTCGTGATGCGAAGATCTCCGGTAAACAGAATTTCAGAAGCTAGTAAAGCAGGTTAGAAAACCCGACGGTGACACACGCCTTCCTTCCCAGAGAAGAACAAGCTTCCCCCGCCCCCCTCATTTTAAATTGAACAATCAGGTGCTTGAGATCATAAGTCCGTGCTAACCGAGCGAGGTTGCACAGTGAGAATATTTAGCTATTCGCGTCCACGTTCACCACTGTGGTGCTAAAGAGGATGTTGAAGTCACGTTTAAATTTCCGTAAGAAAAAAAAAAAATTCCCTAAGAAGTAGCCCGTGTTATCTGGGCCCCGACCACAGGCCCGACTCAGGCCAGCATCTCCCACCCTCAGAAAGGGAAAATGAGGATATAGGGCTTATTTTCAGTTCATCTAATTGAGTTCTACTTGATTTTTCTTCCCAGTCAAGGCATTAAAAAAAAAAAAAGTCCAGAAAAGAAAAAAAAAAAGAACAGTTTTCATCCAACTATAAAAAAAAAAAAAAGTTGCTTCTGAATTTAACCGTGTTATAAATGGACCATCTGGGTGGCCTGCCGGTGTCCGTCGCCAGACAGCCTTCCCTACCTTTTGCAGGAGACGCATCCTCCCTTCCTGCCCGTGTTTTATAGACTCACCTTCCTCCCCGTGTGTCTCGCGATGTCCCGGCGACATGGGCACGTTCGGTATTACCGTGTCGGCGTCATAGATGGGGAGAGGGAGCTTCGCGGACCTTCGTGCCCCTGTCCTCTGACTTCTGAGCAGGGTTCTGCCCCCCCCCCCCCCGCCCAGACAGCTGGTCTGCTCAGGACTCACGATGGCTAGTCCCTAAGCGTTCCCGGGATTACACTGCAGCGAGCCCTCCTCTGTGTGCCCTGCACGAGATGCGTCTCCTTAAACCCTCAGGAAGGTCACTCCAACCTGAAGGGCAGGAGGTTGCTTTCGATGTTTTCCTGAGATGGGGAAGGATGGGAGGGAGAGGATGTGGGACAGGCCGCCAGACACCTCCAGCCGGTAACCCTGGGGATGGGGCTCATTTCCCTTTCGTTACCGTTTAAGTTCGAGGGACGGTGACCTCAAGGGGGAACCCAGGGCGGTGCAGTGGGGCATCTGCCTCCAGATGCAGGCTCTGTGGCTGACCTCGCTGGCCTCTCCGGCTTCATCTATGTTGGGTCCCCCAGGAGCTAACGGCGGAGCCCACCCTGGAGCACGCCGAGCCCCGGGATTTGTAACAGGTCCTCTTCCCACAGTGGCCGGACCGTGGCTCCCGAGGCCGACGGTGCCCCACAGAAAAGCTGGTCTCGCTGGAAAATGTCCCCGTGGTCTGAACCCCAAGCTTTGTGCTCCATGTATGGCCCTGGCCTGCGGGGACGTTGATGACCCACGGCTGGCTCACGGGCTGAGCACGCTGCACCTGTCTCTGCAGCCCTACGCTGCCCCCCCTGGTCCCGAGACCCTCCAGGCCTCCCACGTCTGTCGCTGGTACACGTCAGAACCCGGTGGTAACCCTAGCAAAACCCTCGCAGTCCGGCCCCATCATGCCAGGACCCCCCCCCCACCTTTGCTTGTCTCCGTGATGGCTCTGCCCATCCTCGTGCTCTTCCTTAGCCAGTTCAAATGACCCCCTCTGCAGTTTGGACCCTCTTGAGTGGAAATGCTGCCGTGTGACCAGGGGCCTGCCTTGTATCCAGCCTCCAAGCCTCGGGGCCAGGAGTCTGCTGCATGATCTCTGTCCTGTGCATTGGCTCCTGGGTCTCCGAGCACCCTGGGCCTCGGTGGGGCACAGATCCCTAGTCTCTGCTCCGTGGGCTGGGGGCTCAGCGGTGTCTGGGGCCCGGTCCTAGTCTTGGGTCTCTAGAGGGGGGAAGGCATACGTGCAGGGTGAGGTGCCTTGAGGTGCGGGGCTTCCAGCTGCCAAGATGATGGCCACATGGACACGCAGCTCTGCGGGGCCTCTGGGTCCCTGTAGACCAGCCTCTCATCTGCATCGTGTCAGGGCGTCGCTCAGACCCCTCCGGCCTCTGCCCACACTGCTCACTGCTCACAGGCACACCAGAGCGGTTCTTGTCTTTATCTTGGACTTTTAGGGCCCCTCTAAAACCCTACCCTGTGGCTAGAAGAGGATGGGAACAATGTTATTGCTGGTGACATAACACCTGCCTTCCTATTTCTCTCACCTGTCATAAAACCTTGTAAAGTGGGCATGCTTCTCCCTTCTCATGGAAAGAGTGCAGCCCAGGAAGACCGCGTGGCCTGCCCTAGAATGCTCCCTGGGTTGCCACGACGCCAGCGCGCCTGTAGCTTGCATCCAGATCCGGTGTTTGTCTACTGATGGCCCCTAGGAAAATGCTGACTCTTGGCCTCTGCTTTGCTGAGGAACTTCACCGGGGCCTGGGGGGCTGCTCTGGGGTCATTGCGGGCCACACTCCAGGGAAGGGGCCTTCCTTTGTACGCCCCTGGATCCGGCACCTTCCGACCCAGGAAGGATGCTCGGGGCCTGCTTTCTGTCTCCCTGCTCCGTGTGCTCGACTCTCCATCCCCAGTCCCCCCTCCCTGTTCTCACCCGGGGGGGACCCATCTGGGTCCCTGGAACCCTGCCCCATCGTAGGAAGGCACCCAGATGGAGATGCTTAGTGTTCCCCTGGCCCCGTCTCATCCACGAGCAAAGAGCAAACAAACTACGTGTTGGTTCCCCCGTGTGATGGAGTGATCTGCAGTTGCATGGGTGATTGAGACCGTTGAGCCAAGCGAGGCGACATGAGCGGACTCTCCCTCAGTTGGAATTAGCGGGCATCCCGATTCCGAGCAATCGTACACGTACTCACGTTGTCCCCGCCGGGGGCCCAGAGTCACGTATCTGTGCCGCCTTCTGTCCCAGGCCTTCTTAATCCACACAACCCAGACCCCACAGACCCCACATGGAAACGCACCGACTCTCCCATCAGCAGCGTCGCCCGGGGGCCTCTCTCTTCTTCCAGACTTTGGGCTCCTAGACTCTTGGTTCAGAGCAAATGAGTCTTTGCTGAGTGGATGGCATGGTGGCCGCTTGGTGTTCTTGCCTCTGCTGTACGGTGTTGGCGCCCTCCCACCCCAGCCACCTCCGACTCGCCTGCCACTGGGAGGTCTCTGCGGTGAAGGTGATGTTGGCTGAAAGGCGCAGTTTTGCTCCTCTGTGACTTTGGCTTTTCACATTCAGCAGATAGGAAGTGTGGTCCACACTTGCTGCTTCTCTTGCAGCGTGTTTACAGGTGTGTGGGAGGGACGTGTCCCCCCTGCGGAGGCGGGTGGGCCCCTGCAGAGGAGGGTGGGGGCCCCCAGGGAGAAGCATGTGTCCCCTGCAGAGGAGGGTGGGGGCCCCCAGGGAGAAGCATGTGTCCCCTGCAGAGGAGGGTGGGGGCCCCCGGGGAGAAGCATGTGTCCCCTGCAGAGGAGGGTGGGGGCCCCCGGGGAGAAGCATGTGTCCCCTGCAGAGGAGGGTGGGGGCCCCCGGGGAGAAGCATGTGTCCCCTGCAGAGGAGGGTGGGCCCCCAGGGAGAAGCATGTGTCCCCTGCAGAGGAGGGTGGGGGCCCCCAGGGAGAAGCATGTGTCCCCTGCAGAGGAGGGTGGGGGCCCCCGGGGAGAAGCCTGTGCCCCTGCAGGGAAGGAGTGGTGCTCTCTCCGATGCCCCCTCCCCACTGCCAGTGCCACCTCTGCACCAGGAGAAGGTCCTTGGGTCCCTGGTCCCCGAGCAAGAGCAGAAAGCACAGCTTCCACTCCGGGTCCTTCATTCTGTGGAGAGCAGTGGTACAAAGGCCCCTGAGTCCCCAGAGAGGCCCCAGGTCCTCAGAGGGGACTGTCCCTCTTCCGACGGTCCTGTCACCTCCGGTCACCCTCAGCCTCACCCTGGGCCCCATGCTGGCTCCCGCCGCATCAGGCCTGTGGTCGCTGGCCACTGGCCACCCGGTTCTCAGCACAGCCGTCCCGCAGTCGCAGCAGGGCCGGTGACCCCTCGTGCGCGACTCCCCAGGGAGCCCACGTTCGGCGGTTCGACGTTTCACGTCCTGCGGGTTCCAGGCCAGGCTGCAGGACGGGCACGTCCTCACGGCGGCTTCCTGAAGTCGGGGCCACGCCCTGCCCTGGGGGGACTGCTGGCCTGGCCACCTGCCTGGTCCCTGGCCCGCTCGCTGGACCCTCACCCCGCTGACGCGGACTGCCTGTAACGCGGCCTCTGCTGGCGACAGTCCCTTGGTGTGAATGAGTCTCCGCCTCCTCCGGACACAAAGCCCCGCTGCCCCCCCCGACCGGGTCCGGCCTCCGCAGCCCACGAGCCCCCGACACCAGCTGCGTGTTTTTGAGGCGCCTGGTGGTCCAGCCCTTCCCCTGGTGTCACGGGAACGGGCTCGCACCTCTCTGCCTGACTGTATGGAACGCCGCGTCCCTCTTTGGTTTGATTGTACAAGGGGAAGGCGGGTCCCCCCCCCCAAGCCTTCCTGGCCCCGGCAGGAAGTGGAATTGACCTAGAAACCCCTAGAAACAAGTGCCAGACTCACACCTGAGGGCTCCCGACTTGGTGCTAGAGGGTGTCCACGCTGGATCTGTGGTTCCACGTCCTTACGGGGCGTCTGTAACCACAAGGCCGCAGAGAGGGGTGCATGGGCCCTGGGTCCCTGCCTGCGTGCGGGGCCAGCTCGGCACTAACACCCCGGGTGGGGTGGCCACAGGGGCAGGCGTGCCGAGGCCCACGGAAAGCACGTGGCACCTGCCCAAGCGGTGATCTTGGCCACCTCTGGTGGCCTGGTGGCTGGCTCGGGTTTGGTGGTGACGGGCTTCTCTCACCCCACGCCATGGGCAGGGAGACTCTGGCCGGGGGGTGGGGGCGGGGAGCTCCTTGCTCTCAGCCGGTCGGTGGCACACAGGGATTCAAACCGCGGTCTGTGACTCCAGGGCCCTAGCTCTTCAGACAGTGTTCACTGGGGTCCCGCGGCGATCACGAGCCGAGGGTCCCTGAGAAGCGTCAGCCCCTCCGGCTCCTCAGCTCAGGGATCTTCAGCAGCCAGCAGACCTTCCAGTGAGAAAACAGACAACATCCGGGCTTGCTGAGGCTCAGGCAAGGCCGCTGCGTCCCTGTGGCCCACTTCTCCTTGGCAGGAAGCGCCAGCAGAGGTTTCGCAGCAAAGCTGCAGTGCCGTCTCCTCTTTGGAGCTGGGTTTCAAACAGTTGGAAGACAAAATGGAAAATGAAATGCCTGGAACATTCTGTGGCTCTCGACACATCCCCTCCCGCCTCCTGCCCTTTCTGCAGCGGTTGCCCCCTCGCCTGGGGTGTGGGGTGTCTCGTCCCTCTGGCCCAGGTGTCCCTGAGCCCACCTAGTGGGGGGCTGCTTCCCAAGGCAGCGTCAGGTGCAGGGACCGCACCGCCTGCAGGTGCATCTCTTCCTACAGCGGCCGCGGCGGGGCTTGGTGTCGGGGGCCGTGGTGGCTTCGGAGCAGCGTGGGCGCGCTCAGATGCATTCCGGGCCGACTCAGACTTTGCCAGTTTAAAGTACACACAGCAGGGGCCCTGAGTGGCTCCGTCGGTTAAGCGTCTGACTTGATTTCAGCTCAGGTCCTGGTCTCAAGGTCGTGAGTTCAAGCCCTGCATTGCGCCCCGTGCTGGACGTAGAGCCTACTTAAAAAAAAAGAAATACATACAAGGCTGTGTTCTAATACAAAAATGTAGGAAGTAGCTAAAAATATGAAATAAACGATTACCTGTGGAAGGGTAGAGTTCTTGATTGAGGAAGAAGCTAGAAATCAGAAACGAAAACGAAAACCCCCTCCTCTTTGGAGTCAGACACACGTGAGCCCTAGCTCCTCGACGTGCAGGGTGTGTCTTTGGGCCTGTTCTTAGTTTTTTCTGGACTTTGTTTTCCCATCTGTTAACTGGGCGCTGTGACACCTCATGTGATTCCTGCGGTCGTGGGCTAAGACAGCTCCGGCGAGGGCGTTTGGTCGCGGAGCGCTACAGTCGGGATGAGAGCAGGAAACCTGTCCACGCCTGCTTTTGTATTTTTTTTTTAATTTATTCACAGAGACAGACAGAGAGAGAGAGAGAGAGAGAGAGAGGCAGAGACACAGGCAGAGGGAGAAGCAGGCTCCACGCAGGGAGCCCGACGCGGGACTCGATCCCAGGTCTCCGGGATCACGCCCTGGGCTGAAGGCGGCGCTAAACTGCTGAGCCCCCCGGGCTGCCCCACGCCTGCTTTTGTACGGCGTGTTTGTTTTTACAGAAGTTTCTCTGCGCATTTCTTCTGTGCTCATTTGAAGTCCTCTTTTTGCTGTTAGATCGCAAGGCATGGCTTGTGAGGGATGACTCACTTCGTATCTGGAAGAAGCCTGGGCTTGTTTTCCATGGACGGTTGGCCAGACGCTTGGACCCTCACCTCTTTTTTGTATAGGAAACAAATCGATACTCCCAGAGCATAGTCATTTGGCAGATTGTGCAGAGGCAGCTGAAGGACTCCCCCTTTTTTTTTTAAGGTTTCAAATGTACTTTATTTCTTAAATCATGCCATATTTTAGTAGGTGCACAGGGCTTTCACCTGGCATCAATTATGAGTTGGTTTTGAAACAATTCATTATTACACCAGCTGGGATTACTGATCCCTCCATTCCTTTGGGGTGACTCTGCCAACAGGGGACAGGTTCCATTCTATTCCAATTTGTGTTGCTGTATATGCCCATACAGCAATACAGAAAGTGGCTCCACTAGCTAATACAGCATTACCATATTTATCATGGAAATCAGGTGCCCGTTTCTGGTGACTCTGCCTTGCCATTGTTTGTGCAATGCTTTGAACTCGGAGACGACTTAGAGCGTTTCTGGCCACGGGAAACATCCTGAAGCTGAAGGCAGAACGGTGCAACTGCGGTGACTGCACGCGGACACGACACGCGAGTCGTTCTGCCGCATGCCGGTCACGCCGGTTCTTGGACGGTGACGTCTAGAGTCGCAGATGCCCCTGGTGTCGGTTCCACACGGGCTCCACGTGTGGTGTTTTGCCCCCTTGGGGCGCGCAGAGCCTCGTGGTGCGCTGCCCTGCGTCGTGCCGTGGGACGTTCAGTGGGGTTGTGTCGTTCACGGCATCCCAGTGTTCCCCGGAGAGCCCGTAGAGACAGACCGATTATAAAAAGTAAAATGATCATCTCGCGGCCAAGGTTTTGTTGCTTTTCTATGCCAGTGACTCCAAGAAGCATAGCGCACAGATAGCAAAGCAGAGGGAACGACAGCCACCTGTTTGCGTAGCTGGTGCTGGCACCGGGAATTGTGCGAGGTGCTTTTGCGCTCGTTCACAGGGTCACAGAAGCCCAGCACGATGGGCGGCCCCCCCTGCTCCCCGGTCGGGGGAGCTGTGGCCTGAGCTCGTCCAGGAGCCCGTCTGCGGCCTCTGCCCGCAACGGGTCCCTGAACTTGTCCAGCTCCGGGGGCTGCGGTCTTTCTCCCTCCTCACGTGTCCCCCGGCCATAAACAGGGCCTTCCAGGTTCCTCCCGACTATGAGCAGACCACCGTTGCAAGGGCCGCGTGCCACCAAGGCCACCGCGTTGCTGTGTCCCCCAGAAGGCTACGGTGGCACCCCAGAGCCAGGTGCAGGCCTGCTGGGGGGCCCGTGTGCGGCTTCCACCTCCTGTCTGCCCCCCCTCCCCCCGCTTCCTTCTGGTGGTGCCTGTCCTGAGCGGCGCACCTCGGAGGCCTCAGCCAGGGCTCCCCGCTGGGGCTCCTCCATCCCCTGTTGTCCGGAACCCTCTCCCTAACCATTGCCCCGGCCTCTGCTCTCACTCCCGGGCAGGATGGGGGCAGTCCGGGCGCCCACGGGACAGTCCACAGACGTCATGCATCCTGTTCAGCGCTCTTGAGAATGGCCGTGGGAAGTGGCTCTTAGGATAACCTCGATGGGTATTTTTATTTTCTGATTTATTTTGCTTTTTTAAAAAAGGTTTTATTTATTTATTCATGAGAGACACAGAGAGAGGCAGAGACCCAGGCAGAGGGAGAAGCAGGCTCCACGCAGGGAGCCCGACGCGGGACTCGATCCCGGGACCCCGGGGTCATGTCCTGAGCCAAAGGCAGACGCCCAACCACTGAGCCACCTGGGTGTCCCTTCATAGTGTTCTTTTAACAGTGGTGCTGACATCACTAACCTCAAATATTGGAGTGGGGTTGTGATTGCAAGGTGATCCCGGGACGCCGTTGAGATGTTTTCCGCTGGTTTCTCTCTACGGGATGGTCCCAGCTCCTGTGCTCTTCTGACTCTGTCTCCTTACTTTTGGTAGGGAGCCTGCCGGGGAGGCCGGATCTCTTCTGATAGCGCTTTAATAACGTGCTCTTCAGGGGGGTCTGGGCTTCCCAGGATGGTAGACTGAGGCGGGAGTAAATCGGTGCTGTGTACGGCCTCATCCTCCTCGGGAGAACTCCACTGCGCCTCCCACTTTTTCTGTGGGACTGACCTGAGACTTTCGGGAGTCCTTACGTAGGTGGGGTGGTAGTAGGTAGGTAGCTGCTGGGTGAGTGGGCGGTGATGAGCGAGGACCGGCCTCTGGGCCTCTGTGCGCGGGCTCGCGGGGGGCGCAGGGGCATTCCCGAGTCGAGCCAGGCTCTGCCCTTGCTGTCCTGGTACGCTGCCGAGCCCTTCCTCCTCCTCCTCCTTTTTCTATTTTATTTATTTATCCACGAGAGACACAGAGAGAGAGGCAGAGACACGGGCAGAGGGAGAAGCGGGCTGGAGGACTGGACAGGAAGATGCTCAACCACGGAGCCACCCAGGTGCCCCCGGCAAGCCCCTTCTTTGGTGACTCCATGTTCACACCTGAAAGGTGAAACCCTCCCGCCTCTCCTGTAAGAATGATCTAAGGGGCACACGAAACAATGGAATATAAAAGACGCGTGCAGTGCCCGACGTCTGATACATTGACATTTGAGAATCACTGCTTCCCGACCTTTCTCTCCGCCTTTCCTCCTCCGGTTAGACTCACTGGCTTGGCGTTTGCCCAGGCTGCGTGCAGGGGTCACACCCGCGGCCTTAGGTCTGTGACCAGCCTGGAACAGGGGACACCCCACAAATACTCGTCAAGTGGCCAGAACCTCTAATTTGGTGGTCGCTGTGGGCTACACAGTGAAAATAAGAAGCTGTGTCGGGACAGGGTGCTCGGTGCGTCGCTTCTTACGCGTTGCTGCGTCTTCACCCTTAAGGAAGTAAAGATGTTGACCGATGCTTCTCTTTGCTTTTTTTTTTTTCTTTTTTTTTTTTTCAGTGCCTGAAACAGTATGTCGAGCTCTTGATCAAAGAAGGATTAGAAACTGCAATCAGCTGTCCTGATGCTGCCTGCCCTAAACAGGGCCACCTGCAGGAGGACGAGGCACGAGCACCCGATCAAACCTGGTTTTTAACGCGTGCAAGTGTGCCCTGCTTGGCTTCGCCGTGTCGTGGGTTCTCGTTGGGCCGACCTGTGCTGTGTTTCTAGCCCCCCCCCCAGCTTGTTATACTTCTTATTTGTATTTTTTTTCTTCTTAGATTGAGTGCATGGTTGCAGCAGAGATTATGCAAAGATACAAAAAGCTACAATTTGAAAGAGGTAGGTACCCCAGCGTGTTACCCGGTTACGGATTCCTGTGGTGGAGTCCAGATACCTCGGGGGAGGGGGGATGCTTTTGGTGGATGCAGTTGTACATTGTTTGGCTACAGTGGAAGTGAAAGAGTCGATGTAAATTAGATTTCTGAAATGTAATTGTCATTTTGAATTCTCTGCAGAGCTCTAGCTGGAAGGCCTTTGTTGGGCTTCCACTGGTAACAAGCAGGAATCACGAAACACAGCTTGTTTATAGGGATTTGGGGCTCAGGGGGTTGTTTTAAAGAGATTTGACCCTCATGGGGCATGATTATTTCTCAGGCAGGCCAGGGCAAACGGTTTGGGGACTAAATTCTTAGAGAATGCAGAATTTAAAGGATCCAAAGACGTAGAAGGAAATCCAGAGGCCAAGCGTAGGTGAAAATAGGACAACAGACATCCTGCCAGGAAAGTGTAGCCCGTCCCTTTGCACTCACTACGCACCTGCTGCAGGTCTGGACTCGTAGGCGCTGAGCCCTGAGTCCCTCCCTGTGCCCGACAGGCCTGCAAGGTTGTCATCTTCTGTTAACGTGGGATCCACAGAGGCTGACTCATTTATCCAGCTTTCCAGCGCTAGTGGGTGGCAGGGCACAGTGTAGACCAGAACCGCCTCCACCTCCAGAGTGCCCCGTGGGTGGGAGCCGGGCCCGCTGCAGACCTTAGGGTTCCCCAGGAGCACAGTGCGGCAGGTGCAGAGCAGAGGTGACCTCATCTTCAAGGGGTCATTGCAAAGCATGGGAACATGTTGGATGCCCAGGACCGCTCTTTGGTGTGGCTCCCAGAGGTGTGCCAGGGTCACAAAATGATGTTGTAAAGGGTCTGTGCATTCATTCCACTGGGCTTTGTTTTATGCCTGGACCTTGAGCTCACCTGAAAAGGAGCCGAGTAACAGACATGTTTAGCTCCTTATGCAGAATTTTGGTGTCAAGACACCACATCCAAACTCTGACCTTTGCAGCTCAGACTGTAATCGTTCAAGGGTGCTCTTCCCCTCTTCCTGGTCTGATAAAAAGCCTCATGGGCATCAGACGCTCGTTATGGAGATGCAATCCTGGGGTGCGTGTATACAGGAAAACACTCCCAAGATGGGAATGGGATGCAGAATAGAGCAGGGGAAAGTATGGAGAGATTCCTAGCTTAAGTGAATATGGGAAGGTCTTTCTTTCTTTCTTTCTTTCCTTTCTTTCTTTCTTTCTTTCTTTCTTTCTTTCTTTCTTTCTTTCTTTCTTTCTTTCTTTCTTTCTCTTTCTTTCTCTTTCTTCCCTTTCTAAGAAATGCTAAAGATAGTTGCGTTTCTTCTTGAGGCTTACTTCTGAAAAAAAAAAAAAAAAAGGCCATGTGTGGCCAACTTAAAAAAATAAAAAAAATATATCAAACAGGATTTTGACGGCATTGAAATTGTTTTCAAGAGCTTGTTTATTTAAATGGCATATATCATTCGGTTTGAGGTGGTTTAGAGTTCAGATGTAATGCCACGTGATAGGAAAGTCAGCATGTGGAGCTATAAAATTGATTAATTTGGATTTCTGAGACTTTCGGGCTCTTCTGAAAATATTTTCCAGAGAGAATCTTGACGGAAGCTGGCAGTTATTTGGGTTCTAAGAAAATTAACTTTCTCTGACCTTGAATTCGTTTAAAAATGCAGCTGGATAAAATTCTCCTACCTAATAGTTTCAACTCTGTGAAACTTTGTAATTTCAAATGCTTTGGCTTAGTAAAAGTTTTTTTTTTGTTTTTAAACTTTGCCTAAAGACAAAGCCATCTTGACCTCGCTTAACAAAGTCTCTCAACAATTATCTGAGAGCGTTTTGCTAGCGTTGTGCGAAAAGCCACAGAAACACGAAATGTACTCAGGCTTATGACCGAAGACCCGTCTCAGTGAAACATTAAAACGGTGGAGGTACAGTGATTGCTCCAGCTAGTACGTTGACCACGTTTTGAGATACGATCAGAAGGCGAGTTTCACCCTGCCCTTGTGAAATGCAGTCGGGGGGGACACCACGGAAGAAAGAAAACCCAGCTCTCAGGCCCTCTGACCACATTTAGTTCTAAAAAGTCCCGTGGGTCCTGCGGTCGGTTTACGTTGCAAAAGTGGCAGCTGTTGTCTCCATGGGTCTTAGAATGTCTCCTCTGATAAAACAGCCACCGTCTCTTTTTTGTTTCCAGTTGGAAGTACGGTTGGCCACAATGTCGTATTAGTTTCAGGTACAACCACCTTGATTTTCGTCCAGCCTCCCCCACTCCTCCAGTCGGACTCTTTGGCAAGGAGGCCGTGGGCTCGTTTTTCTTTCTGAGAGCCCAGCTGCCCTCGTGGGAGACTCCGGAGGCTGACGGCCGCAGGCTTTGCAGGGGGGCTCGCTCGCTCACGTGCCCCCGCTGCACTGCGCCCGTGCTCCCGGTTGAGCCCCGACCGTGCCAGGCTGCAGGTGCTTCTTTGCGTGTCCCTGGCTCCAGAGGCAGGCCCTGCAGCTTCCCAGGCTGCTTTATCCTTGCGACAGCCACGTGCAGGTCAGATGAATGCCGAGATCTGGTCTTGTCCTGCAAGGCCTTGGAGCTTTCAATGAGAGCAACGCCCAGAGGGATGAACTCACTCGCCAGGCTGATCCATGCGTCATCAGGCCTGACCAGAGCCGGGGTCTCCCCACAGGACAGGACGAGATGCAGCCAGCGTGCCAGCCTGGCCAGCGGCGGAGTGAGAGCCGGTACCAGGGCTGGACGGCACCCTGAGCACGCCGCGTCTCCCAGCACGCTTCTCCAAGAAAACCCTGTTTAAAAAGAGAAGCATTTTTCTTTCTTTCTTTTCTTTTTTTTTTTTTTTTTTGATCTTGGGCTTTTTTACAGAAGCAGAGCTATCTTCGTTAATCATTAATCTATTGTTACTGTGTCTTTGGGAGATTGATTTCGTCTGGTGTGCCAGAAAATACCCTGCTGGCCTTGTTTGGAAATCTAGGATATACACAGATAGGTCTGCATGAAAATTAGATGTCATATATATAGGATGGAACGTGTCTAACGTGTGCTGTTGGGCATGTACGTGATTGATAGAGCCCTCGGGTGTTTCCTGGTGTGGCTTTGCTTAGGGGTCGATTCCTGTCCTGTCCGCCAGCCGGTGGAATTCAGCAGTGGGGGTGACGATGGACTGTCAGTAGAAGGCCGAGAGAGGAGGCCTGGGGCCAGATTCACAGGCTTTGCGGTGCCCTGGCCGCTCGGGAAGGGTGTGCACATGGGGCCGGTTGGGACAGGTTATTTGCCCTCTCTCAAAGGGAATCTGCCCCCTGGGGAAGGGCAGTTCCTGTCGCAGCTTCCACGAGGAGCAGAAGTCACAAAATTTAAGTCATTACCATGGAAACCTTAACTAGGTCTCCTCGCCCTGCGCTCCATGAGATACTTGGGCCTTTGACGACGAGGCAGCCCAGTGGCTGCATTTGCTGTGCGAGGAGAATGAACGGGACATGGGGCAGAGCCAGAGGGGCACGGGGGAGCACAGCCCTCCCCGACCCACGCCACAGGCTCCTCGGAGTAGGGCAGGGGCTGGGAGAGGGCGGCGGGCTCGCTGACGTGCCCGGACAGACCAGCTCCAACCACCGTGTGGAGGGGGAAGAGCACAGAGCAGCCTGAGGATTTGCCTCCACGTGTCCTGAGGGCCCACCCTCTGCTTTGCCCCCGTGCCCAGAGGGGACCCTGAAATCTAGCCAGGGCGGAGCTGGGCTCCCCCAAAGCACTCACTAGCCCCGCTGAAGACAAGGAGCTGCGCAGAGGGCATGAGGGGGTGAATCAGACCAGGGAGGGGAGGGCTTGGGTCACCTTCCCAGCTTCCATTCCCTCTCGCCTCCCGTCACCTCAGCTCAGGTGAGCTCCCCGCACGCGTGCCCCACGGAGCCACCTCCCCGGATCTGATGGCCACAGACATTCCTAGAAAAGCAAACCCTGAAGCTCTCACCTCATGCCAAGAGCTAATTTTACCCCTTCGCTCAGGGTCGTGAACATCGCAGAGACTTTGCATGACCCTAACGAAGACCAGTTAAGAAGTAGCACATTTTCCTGGATGCCCAAGTTCCTTTACGTTAATAGGTTCTCCTAAATCTTCCCTAGACCTGCCGGCTTGGTAGTTTCCTGCCGCTGATGAATTCTCCCTTCCAGAAAAAAAAAAAAAAAAAAAAAACAGGTTGGGGGGGAGGCGTTAGATGAGAGCAGGAGGGGGTCAGCCCCGGCCAGTGGCCCTTGGCCTGGCGTCACAGGTAAAGCTTCATCGGAACACACATTGAGACATCAGCCCGACGCCACACGACTCTGCAAGACTAAAATACACTGTAACTTTGCAGAAAACGTTGGCTCGCTCCTGGGCTAGAAGACGGTTTTCAGGGTTGTACCTGACGCAGCTTATTCCTAGAGGGCTGGATCTGGCCTCCCGTGTGAGCGGGGGCTGTGGCTCCCCTCCGCGTACCCCATGGCAGCCTGTGGGTGAGGTCGGGTGCACGTCCAGCCCCCGTGCAGCCTCCGGGCTGCGGTAGATCCCGGTGCGTGCAAACCCTGCCCTTGATGCAGGTGACCTCGGCCCACCCCGCTGGCCGGCAGTCCCCGGCCACGCAGCTCGGGGGGGCCTTTCATTGCCTTCCAGGATTCCCTGGCAGAGGCCCGCGGGCTCGGGTTACGTCCCCAGGGCCACCGCCGTGAAGCTGAGAAACCCGTGGCCTACTTCAGGGCCTTAGAAAATAGCCCCAGGCCTCTGGCCTGTGATAGGTTTTGGCAGAGCCTCAGCCTCTCTGTGGTTTCCTGCCGGGCTCTCGCTGAGGGTTCGGTGTCACCCGGACGGGCCGTCAGGGCAGCGACCAGCCTGGCTCACAAGGAAGGGCAGCTCGGGACCCGTCATTCAAAGAAATGCAGGTTTTGCACCAGGCCGTGAGGGAGTGGAAACGGGAGGCTGCCTGCTTTTCAAAATAAACGCTGCCACTGAACTCCCTTCCGTGGGGCTTCTTGGCCGCTTGGCCTCCGCTGGGAGGGGCAGCCTGGCCATTCCACGGGGGCGTGAGTGGGTCCGTGGCTTACATTCAACTTTGGGAGGGAGCCGTAGGTGAAGGAGCCTCTCGATGAGAAGAGTTTGGCCACGTTCCTCCCTCCCTCCTGTCTCTGCGTCCTCCTGCCCTGTCCTGGGCCGGGTCGGGAGGCACCCAGAGGCCTGACTTCGGGAAGCCGCATCCTGGGGAGGCAGATGGAGCAGAAGGGGCGCTGGACCCTGGCCCGGGGCTGGGGGCGGGAGGCCGGGATGTGGCGGCAGGCGGGTGCCTCCCCGTGGCCACCGGCATTCTGGGTGTGGGCAGCAGCGTCTCTAAAGGATGCTGGGTGTCTGGGGTGGGGTCAGGAGTGCGGTGTGTCGCGGGGGGTGGGGGGGTAGAAGGAGCCAGGCAGGCAGCAGGCCCTGAAGGGTCTCATAGAGAGCCTGGGACGTTCCCTCTGGAAACCCCACACTCCTGTGACCCCTCAGCCCGAGCACCTCTCAAGACCCTTCGTGTGTAGACATTGATGTCCCGTTTTGTCTCCCTGTGTTAGAGGTGCTCCTGGACCCCTGTCGGACGTGGTGCCCGGCCTCCACCTGCCAGGCCGTGTGCCAGCTCCAGGAGATGGGGCTGCAGACCCCTCAGCTGGTGCAGTGCAAGGCCTGTGCCATGGAATTCTGCTCCGCCTGCAAAGCCAGCTGGCACCCTGGCCAGGGCTGCCCGGAGACCATGCCCATCACCTTCCTTCCCGGAGAGACCAGGTACCCGCCGCGCAGCCACCGCGGGAGGCACGGGCCGAGGGCTGGGGCCGAGGAAGAGGGGGGTGCTCCTCCTTAGACGCGTCTCCGCAAGACGTGACGGCATCTGGATCAGTCTCTTCCTCTTGAGCCTCATTTAAACCCGGGTGGGTGGGTGGGTTGATTATTTTTGAGAGCGGATTATGCGTCAGGTACTGTGCAAAGCAGTGGCGCTGTAATGACGCACAGGAAACGGACCGCTCTCCGCCCATCCAGAAAGACGGACGTGTGGACGGCTTATTACTGTCAGGGCTTCTAAGTCCTGTGGTACCTAAAGATTTCCCAGACTCCACTGTGCGGAGGGTGAGACCAGGGGGACGGGAACAGGAGCAAGAGGAGGCGCACGGTGGATACCAATACCAGGGGAGGTTTCCAGGTGCCCGAGAGCAAGGGGCGGCATCTCCCTAGAAGAGCTTCTCTTTCAAACAGGTAACTCGGATGCGTCATGAGGAGAGAACCCCCACCTGCGGGCAAGCACGACTGCGTGTCTGCCCTCCTGTGCCCTGGTCAGACCCCCAGGCCGCTGCCCGGGCGGACACCATCGCTGTAGGTGCCTTGAAGTGGAGTAGCATGAATCCTAAGGAACTGGCAATATTCAGCCACTTTTGTCCTCTAAGGTCTGTAGCACAGAGAGTTCCCCGAGATGGTGTCAGCCTTGCACCCGTTGAGGCCACACTCCTGGTAGAGGGACTCCCACTGGCCACCCAAAACTGCGGCCTCCAGCTGCTCCCCATTAGTCCCCACTGGCTACCACCTGCTCCCCATTCCCCTCTCCCCATCCCGCACCCCTGCTCCCACTCCCCGCAGCTCCACCTGCACACATCCTCTTGGCACGCCTCGGGCCCTTCCTCCCATCTGCACGTCCATCCCTGTGCCCGCGTGCCCCTTCGCCACCCTCTTTCCCTGGAGGCATCTTGCCCCCCTCGAAGACATGGCTCACATCCCCCCGTTGTCCAGCTGCCCCGTTCCCAGGACAGGGCTGATGACCCCACCCTCTGTGCCGTCAAACTGCAGATCCTCTGGGTGGGTCACGGCACCAGCCATATGGTGCTTTTGCTCGTCTGTGTATGTGGCCGGTTCCTCCACTAGGCTGAGCTCCCCCATCACGGCCCACGCTTGTCCGAACGTTGTCACCCCAGATCTTGGCATCCGGCAGGCACTCGAATGCTAGAATGAATCACCTCCCTCATATTTAGGTTCTTAATGCTTCATGACTTTGCAAGAAGAAACACACTCCTGTACGGTCAGCGCCTACATCACCTAAGAGCTGGGTGTCTGGGGTGGGGACCAGGTACAGAGGAAGCAGGTGGGGGTTCTCTCCTCATGACGCATCCGAGTTACCTGTTTGAAAGAGAAGCTCCCTGGGAGTGAGTGAGTGAGTGGGTTCCTACGCTCTGTTGAGGAAGACGATGAGCAGTGAGAGAGAGCCAGGGTCCCGTCCTGGGTGGGGTGGAGGCGGACCCCAGCCATGATACACCTCTTAAGCCTAAAGCGGAGGCTGGTGAGCATTGGGAGCCTGATGACTTAGTATTTCTCCTCCTGAGATGTTCTGGTCTCATTTAGGTCATTGCAGAGGGCGGCAAGCATTGCACAGTCTTCGTGCCTGTTAAATCATCACATTGTATGCCCTGCAAAGAGCAGAAACACACAAAAATGAAAAACATCACATTGTGCAAACTAAAAATAAATAAAAAATAAATAAAAAATAAATTTTTAAAAAAAGCAACACAGGAAAAATTATTATTTTTTTAAATTTTTTTAAAAATTTATTTATTTATGATAGTCACAGAGAGAGAGAGAGAGAGAGAGAGGCAGAGACATAGGCAGAGGGAGAAGCAGGCTCCATGCACCGGGAACCCGATATGGGATTCGATCCTGGGTCTCCAGGATTGCACCCTGAGCTAAAGGCAGGCGCCAAACCGCTGCGCCACCCAGGGATCCCAACACAGGGAAAATTAAATCAAAATTCACCAGTCTCATTTTTGGGGAAGCCTAAAAATCTAAAGATCTCCTATAGAAATCTCTGGCTTCTCCAGCTGCACTGAGCCAGCCTCCATTCCCACCTGCTGATGGTCGCTGGAGCAGAGAAGCAGCCAGCTCTTGGGAAGGGGGTTGGTGCTTATTTTTAGTGTACTGTAGTCCTCTTGCACACTGGTCCTGAGGCTGGAGGCAGGTGGCGTTAGGAACCCAGGCTGCGCTCCGCTGGTCCTATTAGTAGGGTTCTTCGGCTCCATCTTCCCTGAAGCCATGTTCCCATCCACCGCCTGACCGGCTCCAATCACGATGACGCGTGTCTGCCCCACGCAGATCATGAGGAAGCTCTCGGAGACTCCCATCTACCTTCATAAATTTGAGTTCCTAGTGAGAGTCGTCATTAATAACAATCGGACATGTGATTCAGATGCCAGGAAATGTTTGGAAACCACTGTCCGTAGGATGTAAATTCCCGTGCATGCCACAACGCACCAGAACTTACGTAGCTTAACTCTTTCCACTTTACAAAGTCTCTCTGAGAGATGGTCTTGGCTCTCCGCTGATACGCTGGCCCCGTTCATGGCATTTCCTTCAAAATGAGCTTATGAGTCACATGAGAAAATTAGTCTCATTACTCGAAGGTCACAACTAGCTTTCAAACCAAAATGATGTTATCTAACCCGATAGCCAACGTCAGTCACTGGATTTGGTGCCTTGTGACTTTTTGGCTCTTGGCAGAAATCATCTGGAGGGCCCAGCTCGAGATTGCGCAGAGCTGAGCTGTTTCCCTGGGCCCCCTGGAGGCACTTGCTTGTGACCGTCCTGGCTCATCCGGACTCACATGCTGTGCAGCCAGCTTGCCGTGTGGTTTGCCTCCACTTTAGAGGAGAATTGGAGCTAGGGACAGTGTTCCCTTTTCAGAGAGAGAGTATACTCACACGTGCCCCTCACGGCCAGGGTCTGTAGGTGTGTGTTCTGCGTGCAGGGAAACCCTTGCAGGCCTCACCACACCCTGAGTTGGATGCTGCCAGCCTCACTTCTAGCAGTGGGTCGGGACCCCAACTCTGCTGATGCCCGAGCGGCATGGCTGGGACTTGTCTTTAGACCCCGTGCTCCTCCCTGCAAGGACATCCCACCTCCTTCTAGCATGTCCTCACCAGTCCCCTCCTGAACAGAACAGAACCACATTCTGCTGGAGCTCGTGCCTCACCAAGGAGGAGCCTCTCCTGGTTATCAGTTGGCTCATCCGAGAGTCAAAACACTTTTCATTTTCTTATTTATTTATTTATTTATTTATTTATTTATTTATTTATTTTTAAGATTTTATTTATTTATTCATGAGAGACACACAGAGGGAGAGAGGCAGAGACACAGGCAGAGAGAGAAGCAGGCTTCATGAAGGGAGCCCAATGTGGGACTCGATCCCGGAACTCCGGGATCACGCTCTGGGCCGAAGGCAGATGCTCAACTGCTGAGTCACCAGGCGTCCCTCAAAACACTTTTTAATTATTATATTAATCATGATATATGATGCTTGTGGAAGATCCTTCCGCCAGAATGCACTCCAAATGCCGGAGGTCGCTCACTTGCCGTGGATGTGTGCCCGTCCGTGCTTTAGGTTCTGGAGGGGCTGCTCACTCCGGCGGGAGATCACTCTTCTCCTGGAGACGTTGGCCTGATGTAATGAGTTCAGGTAATACAGCAAATGCGTTCCCATGGCCAGTGAGATCTTCTTATAGCAGTTTACCATTAATTCCTCCCAACGATCCCAGGCATGTATTTTTTGAGCTTTCTTTTGATATTTAACAGCATGGGATGAACGTTCTTCCGGAATCCCACCAAAATGTCTATGTCATCTCTTCATTGGCAGCATAAAATTATTGCTGTCATTTATCATCGGCCAGCTTCCCCCATGCCCGAGGCTGCACTGTACTCTCGTCACGCCTCGTCTTCGGGCATGCTCACCCCGGGAGGGCTGAGGCCCAGCGTGGCTGCTGCACAGCCGTCTGCATAGGGCCGGCTCGGGACCCCGGGCTTACACCCCATCACACTAACCACCGCGAGCCTAACCAGACTTCTCAGGAAAGCAAATCTGTAAGGACAAGCCCAGTAGATCTAACTAATCAATGAGCACGTATTTGTAACATTTTTTTTTTCTGAAAATAGTGAAGTGCTTAAAAGGTATCATTGATCCTTTGGAAAGTATATGTCCTTCATATGAAGACGGACATAAAATATGAATATAATCCCATTACGCAGACACCTTCATTATAAACCTTTGCTGTATGTAATGCCTTTTGTCTACACATACCTAAACTTTAATATATACTGATAATTGCTTCTTTTCCCTTAAATCCAGCTGGCTGACCCACAGGTTTTTGTTTTCTGTTTTTTTTTGTGGGGTTTTTTTGGGGTTTTATTGGTGATTGTTTTTCGGAGTCTGTTTCACTGGTTTCAGTTTATGACATTTAATAACAAGCGGCCTCGGCCCCTCTAGTCGCGCTGACGCCTGCAGCCTAGCTGGTGCCGACAGCTCTCCCCTGGGCCACGCTGAGCCTGGCGCTGATGGAATCTCTCCCGCAGCTCTGCTTTCAAACTGGAGGAGGACGACGCACCCATCAAGCGCTGCCCCAAGTGCAAGGTCTATATCGAGCGGGACGAAGGCTGTGCCCAGATGATGTGTAAGAACTGCAAACACGCCTTCTGCTGGTACTGCCTCGAGTCTCTGGACGTGAGTACAGCCTTGAGCTTGGCTTGGAGGCTCAGACTTGGAGTGGGAAACACACCAGCCATTTCCTAAGGAGCTTAGAGAACGTGCCTAGGAAACAGAAATAACATTATCAGGTGTTTTTCTGTGCTTCTGAAAATACTAATTCATCGAGTGCGGTGGTATCAGAAGTTCTGGGGAGCAAATGGTCAGCTCAGGCTTGGGATTCAGCCCAGGTGGACAGGGTCTTAGGATCTTAGATTTTGTCTATGGGGATGATCTTAGCTCGACAGCTGTAACAGAACACCAGAGACAACGGGCATTTATTCCTCCCAGTTCTGGAGCCTTATTGCCCAAGATTAGGTGCCGGCAGATTCAGTTCTTGGCCCTTGACCCCAATGCCAAGAGAGGCAAGAGAACCCTTTTTGGCTTACACATGGCTGCTTTCTCGCTATATCCTCATGAGGCAGAGAGAGAAACTAGTGTTTCTTCGTTGTATAAGGGCTCGCACCCATCTCATGACCTCATCTGAACCTCATCACCTCCCAAAGACCCTGCCTTTGGATCCTATGGGGGATTCAGGCTTCAACATATGAATTTGGGGGGACGCAAACATGTAGTGCACAGCAGGGACTGTTAGTGGAATAAGAAGGATAAATAGAGGTAAGGGACTGGGAAATATGGTGGCGGCCACACGGTTACTTCCCTGACCCGTTGTTACCTTCAGGGCAGAAAAACACACTCTGTGCCATCTTGCAGAGTGGATGTTCCCAGCCTCACATGGCCACTTTCTCCCAAGCGTGCCCTGTGCCGAGTGTTTCCCAAACACTCTATATGCCAGTGTTTCTACACATGCTGCATTCCCACTGGGAGCACCCGGCCCTCCCCTCCTGAAGCACCTGTTTTTTTTTTTTGTTTTGTTTTGTTTTGTTTTCTTTCTGGAGCTTCCAGGTCAGATGTGAAGGATATTTCTTTTCAGTTCCATATTCTCCTTCCTCGCCCGTATTAGGAGAATGGGCATCTTGCCAAAATGACACATTCTGACTTTAGTTTCAGAAGAGTTTATTTGTACATAGTTTTATTTATTTATTTATTTATTTATTTATTTATTTATTTATTTATTTGAAAGAGAGAACACGTGCAATGGGGATGGGCAGAGGGAGGGAGAGAATCGCAAGCAGGCTTCACACCCAGCACCGAGCCCAACGCTGGGCTCCGTCTCATGACCCCGAGATCATGACCTGAGCCAAAACCAAGAGTTGGACGCTTAGCTGAGCCATTGAGGCGCCCCTGTGCATAGGTTTTTTTTTTTTAAGTAGCAGAAATAATCATCTGTTAAAATCATTGTGGTTAGTGACTATTCTAGCAAATCGAGGCATGTGGCCTATGTATTTATATTTGTCTGTCTTGTGGAGCAAGGTTGACTGTCTGGCTCTTCCAGTGAATAGTATTAAGCCATTAAGATCTAACTAAACGGAGGGAGGGTTGCCACAGGTTCCTGCTTTACCTTGTGAGGAGCTCACTTGTCCACAGCCTGCCCCTGCTTCCCTGACTCTGTGACCTCAGAGCCCTAGTCTGGGTCAGTGTCCCTCCCTGGGGCCACATCAGAGCAGTCAGCTCAGCTCCCGAGGGCCCAGAAAGGCCAGCTTCTCGGGGCTGCCAAGGTGAAGGAGATAAAGGGTCCCTGACAGTGGGCTGAGTGGAGTAACTTTGGAAGTCAGCCTGTCGTCCTCAGGACAAGTCTGCAGATTGTCGAGAAAGTAAATGCCTGTTTGAGGTGGAATCTTAAAGAAGATAACAGGTCTGTGAGTTAAAGGCTGCCTTCAAAAAAATTAGATTGCTTCTTTTGGGTTGTTGTTTTTCTGAGATGTTTATCGTTCCTTTATTAACTTAAAGGACTGGATGTGCAGTAGAATGCATGTAGCTGCATGAGTCTTGGGAAGATATTACCCTTTTGGTGTCCTGGAGGCTTCATTTGCATACCCAAGGCAAGCTTAATAAGTCAGTTTGGCAAGATTAATCTTTAGCTTAGATCCAAACAACTATGTTCTGTGATCTTGTGTGTTGAGAAGAGATGTTTAGAGGACTTCTGAGGCACTACGACGTCCTTAGGGCCTGCAAGTTTTCACATACATATACTACCTGGGTGTACAGTATATATATAAATTTTATATATAAAGTTTTTCTTTTCTTTTTTTTTAATATTTATTTATTTATTTTATGACAGACATAGAGAGAGAGAGGCAGAGACTCAGGAGGAGGGAGAAGCAGGCTCCATGCCGGGAGCCCGATGCGGGACTCGATCCCGGGACTCCAGGATCCTGCCCTGGGCCAAAGGCAGGCCCCAAACCGCTGAGCCACCCAGGGATCCCAAATTTTTCTTTCTTATGTGTGTAATTTTGTATTTTAACATATTCCCGTTGTGGAGAGGAAACTGATTTTTAAATTAGGATGTACCCAGGGACAGACACCTCGGTGGCTCAGTGGTTGAGGGTCTGCCTTTGGCTCAGGGCGTGACCCCGGGGTCCTGGGATCGAGTCCTGCATTGGGCTCCCTGCATGGAGCCTGCTTCTCCCTGTGCCTGTGTCTCTGCCTCTCTCTGTGTGTCTCTTATGACCAAATAAAATCTTAAAAAAACAAAACAAAACATCAATTAGGATGCATTTAGTGTTGGCCTGCAGTTTGCCAGTCCTTACAACTATTCCTGAAGGGAAGGAAGGGAGATGAGAGTTTCACTCCCTGTTAGCCAGTCTCCTTGAAGAGTTTTGCGGGGAGGTATTGGCAGCTGGCTGACAGAGGTGTAGTTTCTGGGGTGACCCCCCCCCAACACTGCTCTGATGAGCTACAGGAAAGGGTGTGGTCGTCAACTCTGCCCTGATCCCCTGAGGAACACCCCACGTGTTTGAGGTCTGAGGCCCGGGCCACCCTGGCTCTGCCCAAACTAAGGCCCCGTGGCGCCACCCTGCTCTTTTCCTGAAAGCTCTCACCCCCCTCTGGCCAAGCGTTTCCTGTTTGTCTTTGTAAACGAAGAGCTGCTGAGAAATGGCCCTGTGGCCCCAGAAAGCAGATTCTCAAGGAAAGGGAGTCTGCTCGCGGGTGACTTCTCGAGGACAATCACCGTGAGACAAGTGCGCGGACGCGTGGCTGGAAGCCAGCAGTGCTTCTAAGACAGGAGAGGAGAGCCCTGCACTTGCCTCTCTGGCACACTTACAGTCCGGGAGTTACAGATCCCACGAGGCGGCTTCCTTCCATTAGACGCCCTCCCCCCGTCTGCACCTGGCCCGGACCCTCACTTGGGGCGCCCGTCGCACTCCCTGGTTTTCCCACTCCGATGCCTCCTGGCCGCTGCCACACGGTCAATAGGGACACTTGTGCTTTCTTCCTTTTATTTTTCTGGGGCAGTAGATAGTATTTTCACATTTATTAAGTTAATCTGTTCAGTGCCCACACTGTGCAACTGGTCGTACACACCCGTTTTATTTAATGCGTGCTTTCTTCCTGTGTGAGTCAGAACGATTTCCTTTCTCAAGGGGAATCCAGGAAGATTTAAGAGCTTTTCCCAAAAGCACCGCAGGAGGAACGAACCAGAGTCCACTCTTTGATCTTTCAGTCTCTAAAAAGACAATAGATTCGGATCACTCCATCGTTTCTGTGTCCATCCCGGGGCTTAACGAGACTTCCCTGCACATTGTTAGGCAAGTGTTCCGGGTCACAGAGGTACACGTAGATTCCTGGCAGGTCCTGGGGGTCGTTCTGCCCAAAGCCTCCGACCACTAGACGTCACAGTGAAATCATCTGTATTTTGTAAAAGCGTCGCAGAGGGCTTTGGTCGGGTAAGAGGAAGGCACTATTCGAACGAGCTCCCGTTCTGTTCAGGAGGCGCGCCCTGAGCCTCTCGGCGCCCCTGGACTCCCCGGGGTGGCGGAGCCCTGGCGGGGATGCTGGGGATCGCCCTGCCGGTTTCTTCGGTTTGTGTTTCAGAAAACAAGCTCTTCAGCAGCAGCCTACGGTGCAAGGCTTTGTGACAGGCAGTCGGGGAAGACCAGACGTAGCCAGGAATTAGCTAATATCTCCGTGTCTGGGTAAATGTCAGCGTAAAGGAAAGTGCAACTAGGAGTTCAAGGGGGGGTGGGGTGACTGGGGGGCCCAGTCGATTAAACGACTGACTCTGCATTTCAGCTCAGGTCATGATCTCCGGGTTGTGGGATCGAGCCCCCTGTGGGCGTCTGCTGGAGATTCCCTCTCCCTCTCTCTCTGCCCCTTCCCTGCTCTTGCTTGCTCTCTCTCTCTCTCTCATTCTCTTTCTAAATAAATAAAACCTTAAAAAAAAAGTTGAAGGAAGGGGGGGCTCACAGTGGACAGACGTCAGAAATCGCTTCGTAGGAGACGCGGCTCCGGCTAGAGGAGGCTTTCTGTTCGTTTGCACCTGGGCTTCCTTCTGCAGTCGAGGGCCCGGGCACAGGGGTAGGGCAGGCCGTGGCAGGCTGGGACTTCCAAGCCTCCACAAAGGCTTCCTTCTTGCCGCTGCCCCGGAGAAGCCGGGGTTTCAGGACGCGCACTGTGCGCCCCGGCCCCGGCGGGACGGCCCGTGGGACCAGCAGACTCCAGGCGGGCTCCGGTCTCGGAGCGCAGGCCTCGCTCCGTGACCCCCCAGGCTGGTCCAGCAGAGCTGATTGGAAGGGCCGGACGCCGGGCTGTATGTGCGGCCTTCCAGGCCTCCGGGAACAGTGACTTCCCGTCCTCTCGGGACATTGGGGCCTCTGCTTATTTATTTATTCCTTTCTCAGGAGGAGGCGGTTTAGGCCATCAGTTAAATGAGTAAACAGCCACTGGCCCCTCCTTTGTACTGGGTCTCCAGCTGTTTCTTTGTTCCACGGGGTCGGTGGGGGCAGCGAGGGGTTTGGGTGTGGGGGCCACGTGCTGAGCCAGGATGTAGTTAGCGACTGTCCTCGGCTGAGGGTCCAGCGCCAGGAACGGAGGGACGGCTTGGGGGCCGGCACGGGAGCCGAGAGGGCTGGGGGCGAGGCTCGGGCAGGAACAGGCCGCGTCCGGGAGGCCCAGCTCGCTTCGGGCCGTCCGGTCGGCCGGAGGAGCTGTAGGTGGCTCGTGGTCGCTGAGTAATGAGGCCGCTTTAGAGGCCCGAGCTGAGGGGAAGCACTTCCCAGGTGAGAAGCCTGGCACCAGTGGAGGAGGATGAACCAGAGATGAAGGGATCACCGGGTGCGGGGGTGAGCCTGCCGGCCGGCCGGGCAACAAAAGGATGTGGAGACAGAAGCGCGCCCGTGGCCTCAACACAGCCAGAGCCGGGAGCGGCTTGCGGGGGACCAGGAGCCCCCGACCCACCTGTTCACGAGTCCTGCATCGCAGAGGCTCTTCCTGCAAGGGCGGGACCCTGGAATCTGGAGCAGGGCGCCCCCAGCCACGGCCCCTGGGGGTGCTGCAGGGAGGGTGGAGGCGGAGGGCCCGCCAGGCCGCCCAGTGCCCCTGGCTCGTGCCCTTCCTCCGGGCCACCCGTGCCCTCTCGTGTCCCTGCCTGCCTGGGGCCTGAGGAAACTCAGGAGGCACCTGCCATCGACCCCGCTCTCTCTGTCTCTCCTTCCAGGATGATTTCCTCCTAATCCATTACGATAAAGGACCCTGCCGGAATAAGCTGGGCCATTCCAGGGCGTCCGTCATCTGGCATCGGACACAGGTAGGAGGTGGCTCGGCCGGACCCGGGGTCTTGGGGCGGGAGAGCCGCACCCTGTGGAAAGGCAAAGCTGGGCAGCGTGGGTCGTCCGGGACCCTCTCACTCTCAGATTAAGCTGGTGGTGGCCCCGGCCCCACGTCGTGGTGCGTGTGCCTCGTGTTGCACGTGCAGCTCCTTACCCTCGGGCTGGTCAGCCCCCCGGACTCCCGACGACGTTGGCGATGATCCCCCGGGGGGTGGGGGGATCCCTGAATGGCTCTCAGTGAAGAGCTGCCGCTAGAGCCCTTGAGGTGCGCCAGCTAGTCCCAGGAAAGGGGGAGACGGAGGGAAGGGGGAGTCTCTGCCTGGCAGCGTCTGCCCAGCCTGTGGGGCTTCCCGACGCGCAGTGATTTGGGGCTGCGTGCGGTACAGCTGGGGCCCTGGAGCGGGGGCTGGAGGTCCTCAAGGAATAGGACAGGTGCGTCCTTGTCCTGCGGGGACAGCGTGACGCGTGCTAGGGCTTCAGCGGGGCAGGTGATGGGTGGCGCGGCCGGGAGGACCGGCGTGGGGTACCCTTGGCCCGGTGCTGAGGGACGCTCGCCCTGGAAATGAGGCTTCCGGCTATTTGACCAGCAAAAATGGGTTTCGTTGGGAGCAGCTTAGGGGTGCGCCGCGGGAGCAGCCAGGCCCGGCCAGCCCCAGGCAGGGCGCTCTTTCATACAAGAAGGGGGGCCTTGGGGAGGCCGTGGAGACATCAGAGGCCCTGGGAGGACCGGGGAGCTGCGGGGTCTGGGCTGCTCCGGGGAGTGGGGAGGAGGACACTGCCCTTCCCCCCGCCGGGGAGGCCCCGAGGCAGCTCCCTGCTCCCCATGAGCCAGTGCCCATCCCTACCTGCCCTGAGGACACGGGAGCTCAGCCTGCGGCCCCTGATGCCATCTTAATGAGGCTTCCTTTGAGTGATTTTCACAGTGATGGGGAGGAGCCGGCTCTGGGAGCGGGGGACAGAGCAGAGCGGATGGTCCAGGTGGGGGGGCAGTCCAGGGGTGAGGGACAGTCCAGGTGGAGGGGGGACGGTCCAGGTCCAGGCAGGGGGGGACCGTCCAGGTGGAGGGGGAATGGTCCAGGCAGAGGGAGGATGGTCCAGGTGGAAGGGGGACGGTCAAGGTAGAGGGGGGATGGTCCAGATAGATGGGGGACAGTCCAGGGTGAGGACAGTCCACGTGGATGAGAGGACGGTCCAGGTCCAGGTAGGAGGGGACAGTCCAGGAAGGGGGGACAGTCCAGGTAGGGGATGGTCCAGGGTGAGGGACAGTCCAGGCAGAAGGGGGACAGTCCAGGTAGGAGGAGACAGTCCAAATAGGAGGGGATGGTCCAGGTAGAGGGAGGACAGTCCAGGTGGAAGGGGAGCGGTCAAGGTAGGGGGGGACAGTCCAGGAGGATGGGGAATGGTCCAGGCAGAGGGGGGATGGTCCAGGCAGAGGGAGGACGGTCTAGGAGGAGGGGGGGACGGTCCAGGTCCAGGTTCAGGCGGAGGGAGGATGATCCAGGTCCAGGCAGAGGGAGGATGATCCAGGCAGAGGGAGGATGGGCCAGGTGGAGGGGGAATGATCCAGGTAGAAGAGGGATGGTCCAGGTAGAGAGAAAAGTTCAGGCCACGGGAATGGCAAGCGTTGATGGGTAGAGCCCTGGTGTGAAGGCCCGAGGGCCCACAGTGGGGGTGAGGCCCAGTGGTCGCAGATGGTGTCAGGAGAGTCCCCAGAGCCTTGACGGCCCCCGCCCGCTGTCAGGGTCACAGCACCTGTGCCGCCCACCGAGGCAGGTGTGCAGCCCAGCTGGGGACGAGGAGCATCCAGGGCCAACGACTCCCCCTGTGAGCGCTGACTCCCCCACGGCCGCCCAAGTGGAGCTGACGAGGCGCAGAGTGGGGCTGAGGAGGCCTTCCTGCAGGGGCCCCGCGGTGGACGGCCTTGGGGTGGCGGGCTGTGCGTCCCGGGAGTGACCCTCCGTCGGGGGCGGGGGGAGGCGGGGGGAGCAGCGGACGGTGCGTCAGCACGGAGCCCCGGGTGCCTTCCAGGACAGTGGTCTAGGGGAGCCGAGCTGGACTGGACCGAGGGGCTGGCTGCCCGGCCCTCAACCCCAAACAGCAGTGAATCCTGCAGCTTACGGGGTGCCTGGGTGGGAAGGGGTGTGGATGCCTGGCCCTGAAGGCTGTCATGGACCTGGTGCAGGCCTCGGAGCTCACCAGGTCTAGAGAGCTGCAGATGCATCCTCCTCCCCTCCCCATCCTGCCTCTCTCCCTCCTCCCCCTCCCCTTCCTCCTCTCTTTCCCCCTTCTCCCACTCCTCCTCCCCTCCTCATCTTCCCCCTCCCTCCCTCTCCTTCTCCTTTTCCTCTCCCCCTCCCCGCTTCCTCCTCCCTCTGGTCCTCCCTCCTTCTCCCCCTCTCCCTCCTCCCCCTCCTCCTCTTCCCCCTTCTTCCCCTCCCCTCCCCCCTCCTCCTCCCCCTCCTCCTCCTGGGGAGCACCTCCAGCCTCAGAGATCACCCCACACCTCCCCGGCACCCTGCTGGTCTGCCTCTGAAGCCTGGAGAGGACTCAGTCCATGGCCCTCCTGGCTTCAGGTGCAGGCCGACCATCCGTGGTGTCTCTTGGCTCGCAGGTGCTTCCCTGGGCGAGGCCACCTGTCCTCTGCGCAGCTGTCACTGTGGCCAAATTTCCCTTTCAATAAGGACACCCGTTGTGTAGGACGAGGGCCCACCCTGATGACCTCACTTGAACACGGTGACCTCTGCAAATTGCCTATTTCTAAGCAAGGTCCCATCCTGCAGTCCTGGGGCCAGGACTCCACTGGTAGCTCGTCGGGGGGTCGTGGTTCTACCCCCGGCGATACCCACACCCTCGCCCCGTGCAGTAGAGGGGCCCGGAGTGAGGCCGCCGTCCTCCTGTGCCCCCTTCCCCCCCCCCCCCCCGCGTCTTTGGGGATGGCCGGGCATGGATCTGCGCGGTGGAAGCTGTCGTGGACGCCTGTGCGGGGCTGTTGGACCAGAGCTGGCGAGGACTCTGGGATCCCGTTGTTCCACGCTGGCCTTTTCCGTGCAGGGAATGGGTAGCAGCCAAGGGAAGGCGGCTTTGCCCAAGGGGTACCCCGGCTGCGTATCCAACCTCCCCAAATGCATCGGCCTCACGTCCTCGTGTTGACATCATTCATGAGCCTGTGGGTGAACAAGGCCCCACGCGGCCCGAGCTGGGGCGGAGGTGCCCTGGGTGTCGTGGGGAGGTGGACGCGCTGCGGGCCGGTGCCCCTGCTGGAGCTCCTTCCCGTGCCTCTGCACGCAGCCTGAGCTTCCCAACCACGGCGCCGCTGGTGGCAAGCGTGAGCTCCCTGGGTGAGCGCCAGGGCCAGGTGGAGACCGGCCCTGTCCCCCCCAGCCTGGCAGTCACCCCCTGGCCCTGTGCCTGATTCAGGCAAGAAGTCGCGTGTCCCTGGGCCATCCAGGGCGGCCCTGAGTTCCTGGTAATAGGCATCAACAGAATCGAGAAAGTCCCTTGAGAAATGCAGAAACCAGGACCCGAGGGTCCTTGCTCGGGGAGGAGCCTGGCACAGCTTCCTGCCCGCTCCTTTAGCTTCTGAGCGCCCCGAGGCCCTGATGGCAGGGCCCAGCAGGAGGAGGGGACAGGCACGCAGGGCGGCGGCTCACCCAGGCACCTGCTTGTGTGTGGGGCGAGCTGCTCCCCGGACGTGCAGGGTCAGAGGTTAGAGCAGCGGAGGCTGCCCACGCATTAGTGTTAGTTAGATTTGGGCAAAACGGTAAAATAGGAGCAGACCGGCATCAAAAGAACAGTGAGGATAGTGAGGAAACCAGCCAAGTGCGGAGTGTGACACGGTGGGAGCCGAGGCCTGTGGCCCGGGACTCGCTGAGGGACCCTGTGTGCCCTGCGGAGCCAGACGGGAGCAGACGTTCGTGTAGACCCCGTGGGCGGCTGTGCTAAGCCTTCAGCGTTGACAATGGGGACCCCCGCCCCCCGCAGGCTGCACGGTCCCCTCGGCTGGAAGGCACTCCTGCCCTAGGGGCTCGTCCTCAGCATGAGCCTCGCCCGGACAGGACCCTGAGACTGGCCCCACGCCCCGTATGCATCTGCTGCCTTTGGATCAGAGGGGGCGTCCCCGTCCCCGTTCCCATCCCCATCTCCGTCTCCTTCGGACAGGCTCCTGCTTGGACGTGGCTTCTCCACTGGCTTGTTGCTGATTCTGGGACAGGAGTCGCACTTTGTGTTTAGGGCAAAGCCTCGGATGCAGAAATGCGGGTTTTACTGTCCCCCTCGGTTCCTGCCTCAAGTGTCTGGCGAGTGCATGGGAAGCACCCGGGGTGGGGGCGGATAGATGCCCCGACTGCCCAGCACTGGCCCTGGGCCCGCCGTCCTGCCGGGCTCCTCCCGCCTCCGCAGGCCCCTGCGTCCTCCCGGTCTCTGTGTCCTAGCTCGCTGCTCGAGATGCGGCCCCGTTGTCCACAGCCCAGGTTCAGGGCCATGTCCTCCGTGAACCCTCCCATTCCCCCGCCTGTCCCCAGAGCCCCCGTCCTGCACCCCGAGCTCTGCAGGCTTCTTGCTGCGCCTGCCTCCCGTCCTCCCCTCTGAACCCGCGTCTTATCTGGAGACAGACTGTCCTCGGTACCAGGGCCTGCTCGTCGTCGTGACCCCTACGGCCCTGGTCCCCTGCCTGAGCCAGAAACGTGGAGGAAAGCAGGAGCGATGGCCTTGGCTGCCATGTAACCGAGTCACAGCCCCCGTCCCCCCGCAAGGCCGGCAGTCTGCACGGACCTGTGTCCCCTGTGTCCTTGCTCCTGCAGCTACTGTCTCCTTCGGGGGCTTCAGGAAGGAAAGGGCCTGTCTGGCCGGGAATCCCGTGGGAGCCACTTGCGTCCAGGGGAGGTGCCCCCAGGGGGAGCCGGGCGGCAGGGGGGAACAGGGAGCTGGTTTGGTTGGTGTAGTGGGGAGTGATGTTGGCGTCCCCTCTCCAGGGGACACA